CCGCAGCCGCGCCTTGGGCTCGTCCCCCGGGAGGGGGCAAGCAGGCAAAACAAAGGCCCTTTGCCAACATGGGGAGGCCAGATTTTGGGGAGACCCCCCCGACTCCGGGGGGGGGGGGGCAGAGACCGCAAGATACGCACCTCGCATCCCTGAGGCTACAGCCTCGGGAGTCACTTGGGCTTCCCCCGGCATCCACAGGACCACCACTGGCCACCGGCATGGCCGGGAGGGGATGCCTGGGGAGAAGCCATCCAGCCTTAGGGACGGCTCGAGCTCCTTGGCCTTTTGCGGTGAGTAGTTGCGTACCAGCGGCCCGCTGGCTTCTGCAGAGTCCCCGATAATCTATATTAATAGGACTGAAATTAAAAGCGAGGCCTTTGGGTTGTAACATGGGTCCCTACGCTCGGCAGCAGAAGCCAAAACCGTTTTCAGTCTGCTCGTCCGCTTCAGCAACTGGAGCCCAACTGCCCAAACGCTTCAGCTGAGCAGAGATGCTCCGCGCCGCGTTTCCACCCCGCGTACCACGGGACATCTCCAGCTCTTCGTTACGGAGATACTCCACTCAAACCAGGCAGCAGCTTTGCTGGAAGCAGCCGGCCAAAGGGCGAGGTGGGAATGCCGTGAGCACTCTGTAATGTCTTAGAGCACCAGGGCACCCTTGAAGGGCCCAGAAATACAGAAGTCCCTGCGTTGAAAGCTGAATCCCCAGGAACCGGGGGAGATGAATGAAAGAGGGGAGAAAAATGAAGAGGGGAGAGGTTTGGTTTTGCTAAATAGGTGTCCAAAATGTGCCGGTGTTCTGGATGAATGGGGTTTGGACCTGGCCAAACAAGGCAGCTATGCAGCAAAACCAGCTGCTTCTGCTCCAGACCCAGGCGGAGTGATGGTGCTGCACCCAACCGTCAGCACGGAGGCTGACGAAGCAGAATGACCGGCTGGATGGCTTACGTCCCGCTCGCCTCCGGGTCACACCTACGCAGAGAGTCAGGTTAGCAGCAAGGGAGCAAAGGGCAGAGCAGTGGGATGGGGAACGTGCTTGACCCCCTTCATTCCGCCCGAGTCCGAATCCATTTTCTTGGCAGAGTCTACGAATCAGCTCCGCGACTCAAGAGCTCGGCGCAGGAGCTACTGGCAAACGTTTGGGGGAGATGAAAGAGCATTTAAAGCCCACCCTTGTTTGCCCATTAGGAGTAGCACCCTAAAAAGTGAGCAGCCATCCCTCGTCCTTTGTGGGGCACCTTCTGAGGGGCAGGTTGGAGGGAGGGGATGGACGGTCCCCTGTCACATCCAGCCATAGAATCATAGAATGGTTTGGGTTGGAATGGATATTTAAAGGTCATCTAGTCCAACCCCCCCGCCTGCAATGAGCAGGGTGATCTTCAACTAGATCAGGTTGCTCAGAGCCCCGTCCAACCTGACCTGGAATATTTCCAGGGATGGGGCAGCTCTGTTTTGGGAAGATGAGCTGCAGCGCCAGTACGGCTGGACCCTCAGCCCTCCAGTTTGTACTGGTTCCCTTCGCGCTGTCTGCCAGGTTAGGGCAGGCAATGAAACGTCCTCCAAACGAAGCACCTCTTGGTCTGTACGGGCTTTTTCACAGGTTTGCACGCAGACTTCCTCCAGCAAAGCCTCCATCCTTGGGTTTTCCTTAACCTGTGGGGACTGGAGTTGGGGAGAGGAAGTGGAAGGTCTCTGGGAGTTGATTAAGCATGTTTAACACTTGGATATGCCCTCCTTAATTATTTCACACTAGCTGGGTAACCCACCTCCCCGCACTGAATGGCGTAGCTGCGTTACACCTGCACAGCTGGCGGCGAGATTTGCCTCTCTAGGTAGGTGTTTGCTTGAACTGTTTAATTAATGTTTGCAGTGACTTGATGTAACCGTAACGTGCAGCACTTACATCGCATGTTACGGGTCAGCATCCCCACGGTGGGAATGCGGATGGCTTCCGTGCAGAGCCATCCCCGGGGTCACCAATCTCCCCACAGCGTTGTGTTTGTCAAACACATCCTTCTCTGTAAGCCCCAGGAGATCCCGAGGGCAAACTCCAGGTGCTCCGTGTCTGGGAAGCTCCAGCCCACCCAGCTCTGGGTACCATCATCTTCACGGCCTGGGGTTTGCATCCCCTTTTGTACCACAGGTAGCGGTGGATTAAAGCCCATGTTCCTTATAACACAAAATTATCTACTTATTCCCAATTTATTCAGCCTCTGGATGTGGCGGGGGTGGACCTTATTAGTCAGCAGTTTGGTTATTTTCCACAGATAACCTCGTGGATATATTTAATACCATCTCAACCACCCAGCGGTTTCATCAGCTTCCTTGCTTTGCTCGCGTCCCGCATCCCCACCCCAGAGAGGGGCTGCGGGCAGCAGAATGTGGCCACCAGCTCGGCTGGCTGGGCTCCGAGATTGACCAGCCCCTGGATGCCTGATGCCGTGCCGGTTATCTGCAGCCTGGGTTCAGCCCACATTACCTCTGCTGAGGCTCTCAGGGTGACCCAGAGGCGATGTGACACCCCGACATTTTGAGCGAGCGGCCAGGAGTCGTTCCTCCAAAGGGACCGGCCTTCGGCTGCCGGAGCGCGGGCTGGATGAAGCCGAGTACGTGTCCCGTGTTTCCAGCGATGTGAAACGTGGAGTACACGGCTCGTGAGGGTGGGAGGGCGCCTGTCCCTACGCTATCCCGTGGTGGTCCTCGGAGGGACCGTGTCTCGCAGCATCGCTTTCTCAATAACCTCCTCACCTGGTCTTTAGCCAGCCCTGCCCAGCCCTGTTACCCTCCCTGGCCCCCTCAGACGTGGGTCTGCTCCAGGTCCTTTGGGGGGGTCCTCCTTCCCCCTCCTCGGCCAGGAGGTGCGGGATTTCTGGCTGAGGACCAGAGCCGCTTTGGGGGACGTTTCAGCCAGAGCCGTGCATCCCATCAGTTATCCCGCAAGGATGCTCGCGCGGTTCCCAATCCAGGGAATTCTGAGGGAGCTTCTTCAGCCGGCTCCTATCTGATTTCCCAGCACCGACGGAGGGAGAGTGAATAATTTATCTCCTGTCCCCCAGCTCCCTCCCTGTTCAGGTTTCACCTCGGCTCTGCTTCGTCCCTACCCTGAAGGGACAGTCCAGCGCCAGCTCCCGTGTTGGCGAGTTTCCGAGCCGGCCAACATCTCCCAGTGACGCGGCTGGTCCTGGCGGTGCTTATCCAGAACAGCAGTAAATGGAGCAAGAGAAATAACAGCATGAATAACAACAGCTCCAGGCAGGTTCCACAGAAAGTCTTATTTTCAGTTCCTCTTTCACAGCATAACCTCAGCATCTACATTGGTTTTATTGTTTATTATTAATTCAACAGTAGCACACAGAGGCCCTGATTGAGTTTGGAGCTGCGCTGTACCAAGCACCGTGGGAATACACAGCAGGACGCAGCCCCTGAAGAACACACGATCGGCCCGAGAACGTGTCCCCGCACGAAAGCAGAGCAGTTATTGACATCTTTTTCTATTTTGAGATATATGCAAAAGTACTGGTCGCCAATGTTAGCAGAGGAACCTATTTTATCTTACTAGTTTTTAATATTTTTATTTTCTTTCTTGTTCCTGCGTTTCTTCACGTTGCCTAACACCTTTCGCAAACCGCAATGAAGATTTGTCGAGTGCCTTTTGACTCAGGGGTCGTTACAGCTTCCTACGACTGCGCAGCTATTTAATAAAACCCTTGAACACGACATCGGGATGCTCCGTCGAGGCAGGCGCTCACTCCCAGCTTGGAACAAGCGCGTTATTTTTCGTGGAAAGGCAACAACTAGCCTATTCGAGGAGGAAGCCTGCACCGGGACGCACTTTCTGACGTCACGTAGACGTCACGGTTTTGCACAACGCGATAAAGAACCGCAGCTGCACGTTTACGGGAGGAGTTGCACGTACTTTATTACGTTCCTCCCTTTCCTTTTGCTTTCTCACGACCTGTACGTGCAGGCAGTGGCATTTTCAAGAAACTCGGCGGGGTATTTTGTAGGTATTTGTGTTTTCTCGCAGCGGCCGCAGCGCGAACCTCCGCCCGCGCACCCTTCTTGGCCCCGCTCCCCACCCGTAGCGCCACGCTCCCGCCGCC